ACCTGTATTACAATAATATTTTTGTGTATTTAAGATATTTTATGAGGGGTTCAGTAGAAGATTTGGTACTGTAGATAAAATATAGGTTGGTAACACAAGACTTTATTAAACACTAAATATCATACGTAATACAAAAAACCGTAACACATACCGTACATATTGGACAAAAATTTGTTTTATATTACATAAACAGCTTCATCCCTGACTGGCTGGGTGGTCAGCTGTTTGTCTATGTAAACAGATGAGTGGAATTTAATACAACATAGTTATTCAACTGGGGTTGAGTGTAGGATAACTTTTTTGAGGGAAACTGATTAATTTACTATAACATCTTATTAACCCTGCACCAAATGTACCTAAATAATATGAGAATTATGGTGAAGTTGTATACTATTCAGGTATACCCCAAAAACTGATGCCCCATTAACCGACAATTTCATATGGGGGAAATACCTCGCAAATTTCATTGATCTCTGGAGCCGGAGATCCGGTGATTGGGAGTGGAGCGGCATAGCTGTTTTGAATTTGGCTGGTGGTGGCATGATGTGACCTTGAGAGAGATCTGCACACTGTCTCTTACACATTTCCTCCTCTCTGCACTTGTTTACACTTACCTTGTGTCTTCAACTTCATGTTTACGTGTGTTATGCAATCATGCCTAAATGCTCCATTGATAGTTCCTCTTTTGCTGCCCCTCTTAGGGGCAGCATGATGTGATGTGATAAGGCATAACAAGAGTTGTGATGGACCAGCAAAGATTGGTAGAGACTTGAACTTGCCACCCAAGACCATCTCTACCATTCTCAATGCAGGTAAATAACAGTCTCAATATATGCTTTACATTTCTTATTTAATGATTCTTATGCTTCCTTTATATGTCGGCTTTATTTTCTTACTTGGTAGTGTGCACGACATAGATATATCAAGAGTAGATGGGAGTTTTTGGGAGTGGCCCCTGAATTTGTTATATTCTTATGGGATTAATTGCTTTGATAACCATTGATTCACAAACTAACGACTTTTCCCGGTCCCTATATGCGTCGGGTATTGGGCTATGCCTGTACAGTAATATCTCCGTGAGGAAAGTCAGTTTTTGCTGGGTTCTGGCCCTTGTGGGGGAGAAGGGGAATGAGCGTGCTGATGTTGTAGCGAAAATAACTGCTTCTCACCCAATGGCAAGTCGTTCCCCACTTCCTGCCTCTGATATGAAACCAGTTATAAGAACTGCCATCTGCTCAATTTGGCAACGCAGGTGGAATGCTGTCGGAGCAAACAAACTCCGTGACATTCACCCTGCATTGTGGTGTCTGGGGATATCAGGGAATGTCACGCCGCCAGGAGATTGCTTTGGCCCCCCGCTGTATTGGCCACACACGGCTGACTCATGGTTTTTAATGGAAAGGGCGCCCCATTGTGATAACTGCCTGGACCCATGGACTGTTGGACACCTCCTGGTGTAGTGCCCCAGTCTCAGAGACCTTCATAGCAAGCACCTCTCCCAGTGCTAGGGGGTAGACGGATCTTACCGTCTCTCTCTGGTGCTGGTGGGGGGAGTGGGTAGTGTGGAAGAAACCGGCCTTTTACGCAAGCTTTAAGTTTTATCTATTAACATTTACCGGTAAATGTTTTTTATAAAAGTTCTATGTTATTTATTACTTATGTTTTTACCTTGCATTATTAGATTTTAGTCTTTTAAGCCTTTATTAAAATTCGGCAACATATGACCTAAGCTGTTGCGTTGCCAGGGATGTAATTACCACAATCAGTCAATCAATCAATGTACTGTACAGTAATTCCAAGATTCGACCTTTAGTTTGTGAGTTTGACCACCTTACATTCTATGCACTGCTGTCACTCGCCACATGGCCACTCGGAGGGTGAGTCAGCTGTTCACTCGACAACCACACACACTTTAATGTAATAGTTTGCTTCATGTAGGTTGGTATGTCAAATTAACATTAGTCATTTATGTATTATTTTTATCATCAGTTAAGCTTTTAATTTTTAATTGCACTTTTTTGTAGTCTCTTGAATTCTGTTGGGACGAAAGTCTCTCCACTAAGGTATCTATTATTACGGCAGAGCCTTCAAGTAGTGATTTTTCCGTTAGCCGGAGCAATTGGTGCAGAGCTCTTCCGAGAATGATAGATTTCCGGGTGATGAGACGACTCTTTCAAAGCCGGAAGAAAAATCCCTCATTCCGGAATTTTACGTAATTTTCCGGGTAACGGAAAAATGTTCTTGGAAGTTCCAGAAATTGCCCATTACATCATCTCTTGAACCCGGAAAAATATCCCCCATCCTCTGCTGGGTAACAAAAAAATGTTCAGGTAGTTCTGCTATAACGCGATAATTGTGTTCTTGTAAAATATCGTGTTATAGAAAATCGCGTAATAGAAATAACAGGGCTTATGGAGAAAATAGGGTTAGGTGCAGATTACTCGAAATCGAAAAAATTTAGTAGTTAGCCTAACACAAAGGATAGCACAGTCTAAATATATGTTACATTCATATCTAATAATGAAATCATACAGTAAATGTAACACTTTACCTTGAAAAAATATGAATGTAACTTGATGGGGGAGAAGGGTGATTTTGAGGTTGATAAAATCGAGCTTCTCTTCAAGTGTTATATCCTTTCTTTTACAATCATCACCGGGAATTCTATCACCAGAACGCTTCTTGGAGATATTCTTCTTTACCATATTCACAGTTAATACCACAAAATTGGAGAAATAGTAAGCAAAAATCGCGTAATAGCAAACAAGCGTTTGCGTTATACAAATATTGTTCCTAATTCATAAATCGCGTTAGAGCAAATTCGCGTTATCAAAACACGCGTTATAGAAGAACTCACTGTTCTTGGAATTTCCAGAAAATGCGCCATTTATTCTAGAGGCTGCAATTTCCTTTATCCATATTGTAAATATGTGTGCCTGTGTAGACACACACACACAAAATACATACAAATAAATAATTGGAAAATCCTCTCAGAAATAATCAGAAACAAATTTATTAAAAATGTGAGTCTGCACCTCAAGTCTGTGCTCTGTTACTTTATTAATAGAACATGGACTTGAGGATAGACTGTCACATTTTTAATAAATTTGTTTCTGATTAGATCTGAGAGGATTTTCCAATTATTATTTATTTGTATGTATTTTGTGGAATAAAAATAATAATAATAATAATAATAATCTAACGGTTTATTGAAAAAGTTCTTCAGCCCGAAGGCTGAAAATATACATTAGACAAAAATGACTTATTGCATTCAAAGACATGGGGTGGGTGGGTCGTTTAACAAAAGCTTGCATTACTGAATGGAGAAGGAACATGAATTGAACAAACAAATTATTATAGTTTACAGCTGATGGTCCGGGCTGGTCTCTTGCCATACTGTGTGAGGTCACATAGGCCTCGTGGTTCAGTAACTCGTCCTCGGGTGTTGATATGAAGGACCTCACGGGGTCATGGAGACACCGAATGGAATGGTGTTTACGTGGTGCAGTAACTCGTCTTGTTGCACCAGGAACTTTCAAGTAGATCTACTGCACATGCACAGATTATTAGACATGAATTCTTTAAATAAGAAAGTGTACAAATATACCAGTACACAAAGCAAAACCAAAATATAATGCTGTAATTAGGATTATCTAACTAGACACCAGATATCTGACCGAATACTGAATTCTAGATATCCGGTGTCTGGCATATTATTAGGTATCCGGCAAATTTACAATATTGCCTATCCCAGCTTCTGATGCAATGTCAAATCACCCATTGTTGGGGTTGAGTACAGTAAACAATACATAACTGTAATCACTTTTTACATCTTGACACTGCTTTAACACTATTCTTTGCTGATTGTGTCCTGGTACACAGTAATGTACACTACTGCACAACACATATTGTATGGAAAAACAGCAGCTAGCAAGGGAACAACCTTCGACAATGACAGTAGAATATGAACTAAGCAATCCAAGCAGCTAGGCCATCCACGCTCATGGCACATGGGAATGCGTTGAAGTACAGGCAGGGGCCCCCCAAATTCGCGGGGGTTAAGTTCTCAAAATGACCGCGAATCGCCAGATCCACAAATAACATTTGCAGACCGGGGGGGTATTTTTACTTGTGTACAAAGAAATGTATATTCCCTTTATGTGTTTGCCCTTAGGACAATTATTTCTTTTACCTGTATTGTATATATATGTTGTATATATGTGTGTGTGTAGACACACACACACGCACACACACAAAACACATACAAATAAATAATAATTGGAAAATACTCTCACAGATAATCAGAAAAAATTATAAAAATGTAACAGTCTACCCTCAAGTCCGTGCTTATTAATAAAGTAATAAAGCATGGACTTGAGGGTAGACTCACATTTTTAATAAATTTTTTCTGATTATTTGTGAGAGTATTTTCCCATTATTATTTATGGTATTTGTATGTGTGTGTGTTTGTGTGTGTGTGTCTACTCACACACACATGTACAATACAGGTAAAGGAAACTGCTGTCTCTAGAATGAATGGCTCCCTGTCCCAGCCGCAAAAATGCCGGCAACTTTGAAACTACCCACAGACATTCTTGGGTACATCCAGAGTCATCCACGAATAATAGAGGACCATGAAATGAAAATCCGTGAATTTGTGGGGCCCCCTGTACGTTGTAATCTCTCTGAACTCCCAGAAAATTTATTTCCAGTCCCAGAACGTAGAGGTTTCTTAAGTTTGGAGAGATTTTCTCAGAATTTTTCCAGAAAATGCACCTGATTTTCATCCTTGGAAACTAGTTTGCAGACCCGTAATGGAGAGAGTTTTACCAGAATTTTTCTGGCTTGATTTACATTCCAGCTATTGGAGAATTGTGGGAATTGTGAATTCTGGCTAACAGAGACATTACTTATAAGAATCCTTGAAATCTTGATGGATTACGTATATATAGTACTGCAAACTGTTTTTAATTATTCTGATAAAGGTACCATACCAACAGGAACCCAGGCTACCGCACCATAGAAGATGACTTATTGACAGCCATGCTACGTGCTGACCTTATAACTGATGAGGGGTGTACCTGCCCACAGATGTTTCACTTCCAGCGAGCAGCTCGTACAGACAAGGGTGTTTCTGCTGCACGGCAGGTTGTGTCACTCAAACTTCGTAAGTAAATAACATTGAAGACATGTAATGGTTTTGTCTTTTTTTAATCATTTTTATATTTGGGAATTGCTATTTACTTGAACAGTAATACAGTATAATATGTAGCTACACTGTTTATGACATACCTGTATTCCAGTATGTATGCAGGATAGGTACCACTTAGAACAGTTTAGGAATGTACTAAATTGACCTGTTATTCCTCATGCTTATATGTTGCACCTTTTAGTTGCATCTACAGTACTAGTGAGGTTCCTCTTTACACTCATCTCTCCAACCCTCCCCCTCCCCCCTTGCAGTTGTCACAGAGGATGCTGCAAACACTTGTTATTTATCTCTAATGTTGTCTGTGCAAATCCATGGATGGGTATGCTGTATCGTGGAAGTTGCTGGATGATGATGAAAATTTTGTCACAGTTAGATAGATCCTGTCACCTTATATTACAGTATTATAGGTATTATGTTATCAACCTGCATCCCTCTTTCCAGCTGAGGATGTACCAGACATAGCCGGAGCCATCAATGGACATCTCTGTAGCCAGATTCGTGTCATGGCCATTCGCCGTACCACCAAAAGTTTTAACTGCAAATCATGGTGTGATTCACGCACTTATTCTTATCTGTGTCCCACGTTTGCGTTTGCTCCTGTGACAGAGGTAGGCTTAATGCTTGGTGCTTTGCCTATGTAATATTTATGTGCAATTCTTGATACAATATGTAGTAACCATTGCCTTGGCATTTAATTTTATATCAGTACAATATGCCCTTAAGATTTGCGGGGGGTTAGGCTCTCAAAATGACTGCGAATAGCCAAATCCACGAATAACATTTGCTGACCAAGTGGAGGGAGGGGGATACATTTTTACTTGTGTGCAAAGAAATGTATTTTCCTTTTATGTGTTTGCCCTTTGGACAAATATTTCTTTTTTCTGTATTGTATACTGTATACAGGTAGTCCCCGACTTACGACTGCCTCAACTTACGTCCATCGGTACTTACGACCTGCTCTGACCTTACGACTGTTGGGACATACGACTACCGCAGTCGTGACCAATTTTTTTTTTTTTTCAAATGACGCGCGCATTTTCTATACCGAAACGTTTCCAGTTAATATTGTCCCCATGTATAATTAGAAAATTATGGGGGACCCATGTGCATTCAGCTGACTACAGTAAAGGTAAGTGCTCAGTCACACTGTATCCATTCTTCATTATTTATTACTTTTAGGGTACTGTATTTCATTGTAGATTTTTTTTTTTTTTTATCTATGTCGGACTTACGACCATTCGGACTTACGACCTGGATTTGGGTCCCTAACCCCATCGTAAGTCGGGGTGCACCTGTTTATGTGTGTGTGTGTGTGTGTGTGTGTGTGTGTGTGTGTGTGTGTGTCTACACACACACACACACACACACACAAATAAATAATAATGGGAAAATCCTCTCACAAATAATCAGAAACAAGACAACAAAGTGTATTAAAAATTTTAGGGTCTACCCTCAAGTCAACTCCGTGCTTTGTTATAACTTTAACCCTTACGCCCCGGGTGACACACTAAGACTGGAGCCATTTCCTATCAGTGTTTAAATGCCCAACACGGGTTATCAGGTTCCAGGGTGACTATTTGTTTGTCACGCCACACGCTCAGCCACAGGGAAGCTTCCTGAACGTAATTACCTACTTTTGTTTGTTTCATTTTAATTGTTAGTCCATTTTATCATGGTGTATCAAATTAATATTGCTAAAAGTAGTGTAGTTGTATTGTAGTGTAGTATTACTGGAAAATAATGCTATGATTGTGTTATAAATGTATTTATTTGTGGAATTATTATTATTTTATGTATTACTTGCTCTACCAAACACAAAGACAGCCAGACAGCCTGGCGACCGATTGCGTGTGTGTTGCCAAGCACTTTTTATGAAAAATAATGCAAATAAGAAATTCTAAATGAATTATTTATAGCAAATAAGTATTATGATCAGTAAATATATGCATTATTGGCCATCCCGGACACAAAGGCAAGCTAAAAATAGCTCGTAAGTGCGTAGGTGACCAAGAGCTCAGCTGTCAAAATAATACTGTCGCTTTATCTCCCTCCCCCCTCCATCCCTCAGCGCTGCCAGGGAAGTTTCTAGAGGGTCTTTAAAAAGTTTTTCTTACCTGGTACTTTTTTTTAACATTTAAAAAACTTTTAAAAAAATTGGGAAAAGTTATTATTTTTGTCAATTTACCCCCGTGTGGGGGGTACTGCCAGTGACACCTTAACCCGGGGCTTAAGGGTTCATAACAACGCACGGTGTTGACTTGAGGGTTGACTCACATTTTTAATACATTTTTGTTGTCTTGTTTCTGATTATTTGTGAGAGGATTTTCCCATTATTATTTATTTGTATGTATACAATACAGGTAAAAGAAATTACTGTCTCTAAAACAAATGGCTCCCTGTCCCGGCCGTGAAAATGCCAGCAACTTTAAAACTATCCTGAGACATTCTTGGGTACATCCAGGGTGTCACCCACAAATTTTAAGGGCATACTGTACAGATACTCCTCTAATGATCATTCACTTAGCAATATTTCTGTTAAGTAATATAGAATTTTTAATACCCTTTCTTGTTTAACGATGATCAGTTTTCAGTTTCGCGATGTTTGACTCACTGGGAAAATTTGGTAGGGAAGTCAGAAAAACTGGGGAGTCTGTGCTCCAAGTGCGCATCATTACAATACGCAAACGTGGTTTAGAAATAAAGAAAATATAATATAAAACTAAAAAAAAAATGAAGAGCATGGGTGTGTATGTATGGGAAGTGAATGTATATATTGAGGCAGTGAACTGTAACTATGGCCAGCACACTCTCCCTCCCCCTAAGTGACATGACAGCAGCCACACGTGTCTCTTGAGTCAGCTTGGTGACTGTCCAGCTGAACTGGGTTGCATGTATTCTGTTTCAGTAAATGTGAGGAACAAATTAAAAAAAATACTGCTTTGCCATTTGGCAATCGTTTTACTCCACACGGAACACAAGACTGTGAACAGTTGAGAGATCCTCCACGCTGCCTTTCCTACTCCCCCCGCTGTGTTTGCTAACTACTGCGCACATATGAAATGTTTATTCCCTTTATGTTTTTGACCTTCTGATATATATATATACAGTCAACCCTCACTTTACGCGGTTAATGTAACCTGCAGGGCCCCGCGGAAAGTGAGGAACATGTAAAGTGAATAACATAACATATGGGATTAATTGAAATAGAGTCCGGGCCGACCCCCAAACTCCACTTTTTGACGACACACAACTATATTGTAGTAAAAATTTTATCTTAACTTTATGATGGTATGAAAAAACAAGTAATATAGAAGAGGTTAGGTTAGGAAAGATAAATGTTAACATAGGAAAAATAAAGGTTAGGTTAGAAAACTAAAAATTAGGTGTAACACTTACGGTAGTAGAAGAGATGGGTCGGCATACGGGGATGGAGGCTGGTTCTGAGGCAGAGGGCAGATTACTGGCCCTCAGGTGAATCACCATTACTAGGTGAATCACCATCACTGTCACTTACAGTTGTCAGGGCTTCCCTGACAAATCCCTCAAAGTCATCTTCACTGTCACTATCACTGGCTTGGGCTGGCTGTGGTGGGTTGCGGGCGAAGAAATCTGTTATGCTTTGCTGACGGCTGGCGTTGATGTTGTCGTGATACACCTTGATGTACGGCTCCATAGCCTGCACCAGCCGGGTATGGAAGACTTCATAGCGGTCATTGTCGCGGGAAAGGAAGGACTTCATTTTCTCTGCACACTCCATGGCACCCTTAATATCACTATGACTTAAACTGTGTTCTTCGGAGAATGACGCACCTTCTTCCTCCTCTTCACTGACGTGTTCTTCTTCCAACATCTCGTCGGCAGTCACTTCAGGATCTCTGATCACCTCCAGGATGTCGTCGTTGGTGGTCTCGGAGAAGCCTGGAACTGTAACAGTCTGCGCAGCTTCTCTGGCAAGGTCCACTGCTACTGCAACATTCTGAACCTCACCAGTCACAGATTGACTCCTCCTCTCACCTGGTATTCCATGCAACACATGTCTCCATGCGTGACGAATTGTAGCAATAGACAGCTGATCCCATGACTCCACCAAGAAGTCCACAGCTTTCTTGATGTTAAATACTCTCCAGAATTGTTTGAAGAGTATTTTTTGCTGTTCCAACTGTTGATCCTCATCTTCTTCGCTCTTGCTATCGGTGGTGGTGTCACTCAGGTTACGCAACTCTTCCCTGGTGTTGGTGTAGTCGTTCAGGAGCTGGAATTTTTTTGTTGAGAATGCAGCTTTCACATTGCAAATCAACTCCTGGTCCATGGGCTGGATTAATGACGTAGTGTTGGGAGGAAGGAAGACCACTTTTACGTTGGGGTGACGATCTAACAGTAGGGGCGAGTGTCCTGGTGCGTTGTCCAGCAGCAACAAAATATTGAATGGCACATTCTGTCGCTCAGAATTTTTTTACATCGGGAACAAAACAGTCATCAAACCAGGAGAGGGACAGTGTAGAGAACATCCACGCCTTACGTGCGGTCAGCCAGTGGACATTTAGCTTGGTCATGTCCATGGTTTTGTAGGCGTGCGGCTTGCGTGCTGTGTGGATCACCGATAACTTGAGCTTACAGGTACCGGAGGCATTGGTGGTAAACAGGACGGTGATGCGTTCCTTCTGCATTTTCCGGCCCCGAATCCTGCTGGCATTCTTCACAACGAAGGACTTGGAAGGTAGCTTTTTCCAGAAAAGACCAGATTCGTCCATGTTAAACACCTGGTCGTCACTGTACTGTCCTTCCTCCATAATCTCACGTAAAAACGGAGGAAATTCCCTTGCCGCAGCACGATCAGCACTCGCTTCTTCACCACCAATGCTTATATTGGTGATCTTGTTCCGGATCTTAAACCTCTGTAACCACCCAGAGGAAGCATTAAAGGGTTTGGGCTCTGAAGTTCCCATCTTTCGTGCCACTGCCATGTACAGTTCACGTGCGTAGTCCTTAACAGAGCGCGTGTCGACCGCCATGTTCCGTCGCGCCTGACGCACCAAGTACCTCACAAGTAATTTTTCTGTCTTGAGAAGCACCTGGTTGTGAAAATACTTGATCATAGAAGCACCTGTAGACTTTGTGATCTTCATGTGCTCCTTTATCTTGGCTGAATCCTTCTTTATAGTCCGGATCGTAGATTCGTTCACACCATGCTGGCGCGCCAAATCAACCTGCCTTGTTCCTTTCTCCAACTCTTGGATGATGGTATACTTCACCTCGTAGCTTAAGGAACGTCGTGTCTTCTTTGGTTTAGTGCCGCTGGGTCCAGGTAAGGAAAGGTTTCTCTCTGGGGGTGGTGGTCCGGCGGAAGCCATTTTACGGAACAATGGATGCGCGTTTACACGGAGTGGCCTTGAGGGATGAAACTGCCGCGGCTAGGTCAAGCGTCGTCTTTCCTCCCTCCCTCCCTCCCCCGGGTGGACACGTCATAATACTTTAAGCCAATTACAGCTAGCAGCAGAGGGGGGTAGGGATGCATGGCCAATCACAGGTCTGATACGTCATATGACGTCAGTGATAGCGCAACAAAGACACACACTGCGCAACCTTACCGCGCCGCTTGCCCAAGCGGAGGGAGGAGGAGGGAGAGGTGGGCGGGTGGGGCGAATCTAAAAATAGCGTCGCGCCGGACACTCTCCGCGTAATGGGGTTCATGTACCGCGTAATGTGAGCACGTGAGGTTCTGGCAAGGCACCGCGTAAACGTGGAAACGCGGTCCCGCATTCCGCGTTTCCACGTTTACGCGGTGCCCTGCCGGAACCCAGGATGCTCACATTCCGCGGTGCGTGTACCCCTTTACGCGGAGAGCGGCTGGCGAGCCGCGCCATTTTTGGATCCAAACCTCCCGCCATCCGCCATGTTGTGTAAGCTGCGCGAACATGGTGCGCACAAGGTCGCCCAGTCATCAAAACATTACCAGTTCTTCACCCGCCACCCACCACAGCCGGCCCAAGTCAGTGATAGTGATAATTATGGTGAGGATATGGACTTATATGGACTTTGGGGAGTTTGACAAAGAGGCCCTGCAAGCCTCTGTGGTGGATAGTGATACAATTGATACAAGTGACACAGGTGAGGGCCACTAATCTGCCCTCTGCCTCGGAACCAACCGCCCATCCCCGTGTGCCCAGCCATTTTTTCTACTAATGTAAGTGTTAAAAAACCTAATATTATTGATATTCCTCTTAATTATTAATTGTGTGTGCATACCATCATAAAGTTAAGATAATATTTTTACTACAACATAGTTGTGTGTCGTCAAAAAGTGGAGTTTGGGGATCGGCCCGGGTTACATTAACCGCGTAAAGTGAGGGTTATATATATATATATATATATATATATATATATATATATATATATATATATATATATATATATATATATATATATATATATATATATATATATATATATATATATATATACATACATACATACATACGTATTTTTGAGTCCCAACGTCAGTACACAGAGAAAATTTTCGTTTGCAATTCACTTTAAAATGTCTGGCAAGCTTAAAAGTGAGAGTTTTGTGGTGCTAAGAAGAAAAAGAGGCACCCATTTTAGATTTTCTATGTATTATTTAAGCATTTTCGACTTACAACCTGGATTTGGGTCCCTATCCCCTTCGTAAGTCGGGGAGGAGCTGTATACACTTTACATTGTAATTAAATTCTTTTTAGTATTTTCTACTTGTTGATTTACAATATTTGTGGTACTAACATGTGATCAATCAAAACACACTACTTTTACCATACAGTATTCTTATACTTTATTTACTGTATTTTTAAGCTGTTTCATATAGAAATTTCAACAAATAACTACAGTAGTATTGTACAGTACTAGTACTGACTCTTCCTTGTTAGTACACCTGATACATAATAATGTTAATAACATTAGAACATTTGGATCTTACTTTCAAATTCAGGTTACCTCAACAGGATGGTGGCTAACAATTAATTTAACATCTCAGAATGTTTTAAATCCATCTGATGAATGTCAGAGTAGTAAATCACTTCCTTGGCTCCTCAGTTATGGGCCACAATGGATTAATTCTCAGATACTGCCCTCCCAGCTGCCTTACACACACGGGCTCCATCCCTTGTGTCTGTTGTGATTTTCCATCTGGTCCCTCTACTATGTGTCGGTTGATGTGTTCAAACAAAAGGGCTGCTGCTCCTATATACAGTAGTTACAGATATCAAGATCCATCTATTTATTATTCTTCATCACTTCTTACTTCATAGTTTTCAGATCAAAACATTTTTGATGATGCAATCTGCTTTTCTTTTTGCTTTCCTTCTGCCATACCTCTATTGTCTCCATTGTGTTTTATTATTTTGAATCAGTTCTTATTTTTCTCTCCCACATAAGAGAGTGTGACTTTCTATACATCATTGTTTTAACGGCCATTTTCCATGCTTGCGTGGGTTAGCAGCAGTTACTTGATGGCAGCTCCATGCTGCATGGTCTTTTGTAGTTTCTCTTGTCAGAATCCCAATAATGTCATTTCTTATAACCTCTGAATCATCAACCACCACATTTTTCTCTTTTAGCAGATGTTTTGATTGGGTCAGTACTATACAGCCTTGAAAGTGTAAAGTAGGGTCATTGCTTTAATTGTTAAGGTCCTTCGTAGAACTTCATGAATGAATCATGAAACACATAACTTTGTTTAGTTGTTGTACATAAATGCTTAAGAATCATTTTGTTCATAATATTCTATAGTATACCGTAGTTGTAATAAGACTGATTATGATTTTCAGATGAGACATGAGGGCTACCGCATTACTTCAGAGGTCTTGGAACAACTTAAAACGACTTTGAGTTTATATAAAGGCACACATAATTTCCACAATTTTACGGCCCGGAAGTGAGTTCTCAGAGTGTGTTATGGTGTCTTGTTGTGAGGATGAAGTCAGCTTAAGTGACTTTCTCCATCAAATTACTAATGTGAATAGTGGAGGCCCTTGTGATGAGAGAATAATAGATGGACACTGTCCCCTCGTTAATTCGGATTTTGGCTTAATTTGTATTTATATATTTTTTAATTAATTAAACAGTATGAATTTAGAATGACTCTGAAATAACTGAGCAGTTCTGAAAAGTTATGCAGTAACGGGCTTGAAATTTCAGCCTTGTTGATTCATCTGTGTTCTCGCAGCTCCCTAAGCAGGCTTGGGTCAGGGGTGATCCCACTTGCACAATTGTATTTTCTGTGCAATTTTTGTATTCCCACTTGGATGATTATTATAAAAATATGAAATGGATTAAGATGAATGAATTATAGGAACAAAATATGAATTATATTAAGATACAAAACTACGTTTGGATGTGTAGTTGGGGAGAGGAAGTGAAGGAGGAGAGAGGGAGTGCTGGCTAGACTCACCTCCAGCTCTTATCAGCCCACTATCCTTTATAACGACAGGCTGCAATTTCACTATAATTCCCGTATTATTTAGGTTCATTTGGTACTGTAAAAAAAAAAAAGAAAAAAAAAAAAATAAATAAATAAATAAAAAAAATTCCCCCCCAGTCCCACACTCAATCCTAGATCAAATATTGCGCTGTAGTATGTTCCCAGTCTCTTGTTTACAGAGCGGTAACAGCTGATCGTTCCTGCTTCCCTACTCTCCCTAACAATGTTGCCAGCACTCACCATCTCTCAAGCACCGTTGTGTCACTGCTCAAGAGGGTTGGTGCTTACCACAGAATCTGTCTTGAGCACTTAGTAAATAATATTGTAGTTTATTTATCAAAACTTAATAAATATTATTATACTGTAGTGTACAATGCATCTCCATATGCCCTGGTTTATTCACTGGTCAGTTGTCCAAGTGCAAAAGTAGCCAAATCGAGCCATCATAGACTGTATTGATTAATTTTAAAATGACATTTGGAAATTAGAATGTTAGAAGACAATGGTTTAATGGTGCTGTTAATGTGTGTGCTGTTTAAGTACCTCATCACGTCACATCTCGCCTCGTCACCTCACCTTGTAGTTTATTACATTTATTTATTACTGTATTATTTACTTTATTATTACTCTATGCACATTATAAAATATTTTTATAGGCACAGTAATTATAAATAGATTATTTTCTGTGGCAGCCAAGGCATGGCAAGGTTAAAAACTGAACACAAAACCGAGGCGTTCATTAACACCGAGGGACCACTATATATATATATATATATATATATATATATATATATATATATATATATATATATATATATATATATATATATATATATATATATATATATATATATGTATGTATGTATGTGTGTGTGTGTGTGTGTGTGTGTGTGTGTGTGTGTGTGTGTGTGTGTGTTTTTTTGGTTTTTTTTTTTTTTTTTTTTTGTGTGTGTGTGTGTGTGTGTGTGTGTATGTATGTATGTGTATGTATGTAGTATGTATTATGTATGTTATGTATGTATGTATGTATGTATGTATGTATGTATGTATGTATGTATGTATGTATGTATGTATGTATGTATGTATGTTGTATGTATGTTGTATGTATGTATGATGTGTATGTATGTATGTATGTATTATGTATGTATGTGTATGTATGTATGTATGTATGTATGTATGTATGTATGTATGTATGTATATATGTATATATGTATGTATGTATGTATGTATGTTTTTTTGTTTTTTTTTTGTTTTTTTTTTTTTTTTTGTATATATATATATATATATATATATATATATATATATATATATATACACACACATACAGTTAACTCTCACTTTACGCAGTTAATGTAACCCGGAGGGTACCGCGGAAAGTGAGGAACGCGTAAAGTGAATAACATAACATATGGGATTAATTGAAATAGAGTCCAGGCCGACCCCCAAACTCCACTTTTTGACGACACACAACTATGTTGTAGTAAAAATATTATCTTAACTTTATGATGGCATGCACACACAATTAATAATTAAGAGAAATATCAATAATATTAGGTTTTTTAACACTTACATTAGTAGAAAAGATGGCTGGGCACACGGGGATGGGCGGTTGGTTCCGAGGCAGAGGGCAGATTATTGGCCCTCACCTGTATCACTTGTATCAATTGTATCACTATCCACCACAGAGGCTTGCAGGGCCTCTTTGTCAAACCCCTCAAAGTCCATATAAGTCCATATCCTCACTATCATTATCACTATCACTGACTTGGGCCGGCTGTGGTGGGTGGCGGGTGAAGAACTCGGTAATGTTTTGATGACTGGGCGACCTTGTGCTCACCCTGCTCGCGCTGCTCTCCTCATAAAAGGGTCCACACACCACGGAAAGTGAGCATTCCGTGTTCGGCAGGGTACCGGGTAAACGTGGAAACGCGTAAAGTGGGACCACGTAAAGCGAGGGTTGACTGTATATTTTTATTTTTTTTTTTACATGCACATGTGGTGAAAGTTGCCAACTGGCAATGCATTCCCCCCATATTTACATTAATTCTTATGGGGAAAATTTTCCCTGATATGAAATATAAATTGATTTTTCAAGGATAGAAGAAAGTAATGTTAACAAGTTGATTGTTTACAAGTGAAGTTTGGATCTAAAAAGAATTCATAATACTAAAGTATAAATTATTAAATTCATTAAGAAAGGAGCCTGAGAAAAGCAGGGAGCAAAGATTGAAAACAAAGAAAATTTTTGGGATAGAATCTTATTGAGTGAGAGATCAAGGGACTGTAGGGAAGATTTTGAATGTAGCTTATTCATGGAAGGTGATTAAACAGGGAGAGAATTAACAGCTTTGATGAATTTTGATATGTGAGGATAGTGTAAGAGGTAACAGAAAAGATAGAAAGAATTATGCTGTGATTACTATTTAAGTGATTGTGAAGAATTATTCCATGACCCAGAAGATTGGAGGAGGCTATGTAACTTCTGTGATACTTTGAAAATATATATTAGCATAAATAAGAACGGAAATATTTATTTGGATGTAAATATATGATTATTTTCAGGAAAGCCCAGGATGCCAGTGCCAATCGGTATATTATGGACATTGATTGTGGACAGCCATTTGAACGTGAAGGCTTAGAATGGATCACCATCAAGATTAAAGGTATAGCTTTCTTGAACCTCAATATTTTAGTGCTGTTGCACTCTTTTGAAAGTCCCCTCTTTGTTATATACTGTATATTGTTTTGTATATCTACAGTGGGCTGCACACAAGGTAGAATTTTAGATTCTTTGTTGGAGGGCTACTGGAGTGTAAACTTGACATGTCATTAAAACTCAAATATCATACAAAGATCTAGGCTATATTGGGAGATATACTTAACCTCTCTTATTCTTTCTGTGTTGTGTGGTGCCGGCCCCAATGATAACACTCTGGGTTGACTAGTAAATTCCTTGGTGTACTAGTCAAGGCTATTGTGAGTGTAGTTCAAGGCACACCCCCATGTGCACCTCTCCTAGTCCATCACAAAAGAAAAATTGAGATATATATTTTGTTGGGGAGGATGATAGACTCAAAAAGTAGATAGAGTATAGTATAAAAAAGATACTATTGATATTCAAGATTTGTAAGACATAGGAAGAAAAAATTAATAGTTGTTTAAGTTGCCTGCTTGAAGGAAGCGCTGAAAGATATCCTGATGAAATTCAACAAACATAGCAAAAATACTTTGACAACTTGGTGTTAATGATAGCCTTTGTGAGGCAGGAGTACTAGGAAGGTTGTATGTTTTAGTCCATATAATAATATTATTACTGTGAAAGAGTTTGGTTCACCTACAGTAGGCTTTTAGTAATTAGAAAATTTAATGGATGAAAGTTATATGAATGTGGTGATATCTCCATTAGCCAGAACAATTGGTGCAGAGCTCTTCCAGGGATGAGAGATTTCCAGGTAACGAGACGACTCTTTCAAAAGCCGGAAAAAATGCATCATCCCTGGAATTTTCCGGGTAACGGAAAAGTGTTCTCAGAAGTTCCTGAAATTGCACATTACAACATCTCTCGAACCCGGAAAAATATCCCTCATCTCCGGAATTCTCGGGTACTGGATTTTTTTCTTTTGAATTTGTGGAAAATGCGCCCGATTTTCATCTCTCACCCCCCCCCACACACACACAAAAAAAAATATATATATTAAAAAATCTCAGGAATTTTGTGGGTACTGAGAAAATTTTCTCAGGATTTTCCAGAAAATATGCCCCTTGGAAAATCGTTCCCAAAGCCGTAATTTTCCAGCAAGACTTTTTGAGGTAATGAATATGTGGCTGCCAAGTAAGCCGATTGTCAAAGATAATGCCCATGAAACGAGGTTCTGTGACACACCACACATGGTGACCATAGAGCTGTAGATCAGGATCTGGGTGAACACCTTCGGAGATGGCAGAAATGCATGGCTACCGTCTTCAAGGGAGAATATCTGAAACCATGCTGTGGTTCAACGAGAAACCTTAGCCAATGCAAGTTGTGTGTGTTGTTCAGCCACTGACATGCGGGAAGCTTCATATCAAATGGACAAGTCATCTACATACAATGATATTGATACACCACTTGAAACTGATGCTGCTACCCCATTTATTACAATGGCAAATAGGGTCACACTCAAGAGACAGCCCTGAGGATCCCCATCCTCCTGAATATATGGTGCTGACATTTCTATGGCAACGCGGACACCTAAAAGTACATTGGCCCAAGAATTAACTTATTATTGATGGTAAATTTCCCCACAAGCCAAAATTGTGAAGCTCCTTAAGGATGCCAAATCTCCAAGCTGTATCCTGTGCTTTCTCTAGGTCGAATACTGTAAAACGCTGACGAGATGCTGGTGGCGAGCTAAGACCTCACAGACGATGGTCTCAACAAGAGCATCTGTTGTTAAATGTATCTTCCAGAAGCCAGATTGATATGGTGAAAGAAGGGCATTCTTCACTGATGCTGTGGCAAAAGCAGCTGCTTCTCGCCCCTTGGCACATCATTCCTCTGTACCTGCCTCTGATCGAAATGGCAGTGCAGGTGGGATGCTGTCGGTGCAAACAAGCTTTGTTACATCCACCCTGCATTGGGTGCCTGGGAATATCAGGGACTGTCGTGCTGCCGGGTCACTGCTTTAGTCCACCTTCACATTGGCCACACACGGCTGACTCATGGTTTATTAAAGGAGAGGGGGCTCTTTCCCCATTGTGATGACTGCCAGGCCCCATTGACTGTTTGACACCTCCTGGTGGAGTGCCCCATTCTCAGAGATTTTCATCGTAAGCACCTCTCCCAGTGTCCGGGGGGGGGGTCTTACTGTCTCTCTTTGGTGCTGGGGGGAGGAGTGAGTGGTGTGGGAGGGGATGTCCTCTCCTCCGTGGAAGAAGCTGGCCTACACAGGGTTTGAGTTTTATCTATTAATGTTTAAATGTTTTATGAAAGTCATATGTTATTTATTACTTATGTTTTTACCTTCCATATGATTTTAGTCTTTTAAACCTTTATTTTAATTTGGTGACATAAGACCTAAGCTGTTGCTTGCCTGTTATTTTCTGCATACGTTTCCATACCTGGGACAAGGAAATTTTTACATTTAGAGAGGAGACATAAGTGGAAAATGACCGACGACGGGCATTCTTTAATACTTGACGAGCTTGAGCTGTGGCTCGTTTGTACAGCTACTCCCCGACTTATGACCTACTCGACTTACGACCACCCGGACATACGACCGCCTCAGTCGTACCAAAATTTTATCAAATTACATATTTTTGAGTCCCAACTTCAGTGATTGCACTGTGTACTGACAAAATTTTCGTTTGTAATTTACTTTAAAATGGCTGGCAGAGGGTATAGGTACACTCGCAACAAAAAGTATCGGTGCATACTGTAGTCTGAACAATTTGAGACCAGTGATTATAGGCATTGGGAAAGGCGAGTTGTTCCAGCCGTATGTTGGCAGCCCTGTAATCCTGCTGAGCAGCTACTATGGCCTGGTCAAGTGAAACAAACCGTTATAAATAAGGTCGGGAAGTGATAAATAGACAGTATGAAATATGAGGAGCTCCCTGTTAACAAAATTATTTGTGATACTTTTGGATATTGCCACATTAATTTATGCTACCAAATAAACCACTCAACCTGGTCGTCCTGAGGGGTGGTGCAGCGTGAACTGCCGCTCCGAGACCTGTCGTCTGTAGCACCAGTTTCGAGGTATCGCCGAATCCATCGTGCAGAGGTGTTCCTGTGGACACCAACCCGCTGGCTAATTTCTGTGATGCCGAACCCTTCGTTATGAAGGGCAATAATAGCTCCTTGTGTTCCCTCTGAGGTTTCCATGTCGTCTGGCATGTGTAAATCTCTACTGCTCCATATTGCCTCTGTTTTATACCCACGTTCACCGAGACCGAACCCTCGCTCATCATTCAGTCGACACAAAGCAACAATCCGAAAAGAGGAAACAAACACACTGATTGTCAGCCATATGGCAACACCTAGAGGGGGGGGGAGTTATGAGGATACACTTACCAACCTTCCCGATATATCACAGTGTATACGTATCGTTTCAGAAGTCGTCGATCTCACCCTGCACCGATACTTTTTGGTGCGAGTGTACATTGGAAGTGAATCTTGCAAGCTGTCACCTGCAATGCATAAGTGATAGATAATGGGCTATAGGGTACACCACACTTGTCTGAGTCAAGGATGGCTGTGCCCCCATGATTCGTGTGTTCTTGATTTTGAAGAGACTAAAAAGCCAAATAACCTCTGGGATGGGGATGATAGCACCTATCCTCCCCATCCCAGAGACAAATACATACATTGGAAAATTTGCGCTGGAGCAACTGGAGCTCCTCCCATTTGGCTCATAAACCTCGACAATTCTATTGGATGATGGTAGCCATGATTAGTGGAAATTTAAGTTGGGGTATGTGAGTGTGCCACCCCTAACAGACTGGGCTTAGTTAGGGTGTTGGATCCTGGAGGATGCACTGGGAGTGCACCACGACGAGCTCCCCCTCCAGTCCCCCTGCTGAAGGGGGGAAAGCTTATCTGAGACCGGGCCTTTCTATTCCTCCCCAGGGTTGAAAGATGCGTCTGGCCACAGACGACCCAGATGTAGACCCATCCGATGGATCCACACCAGAGTTAACCCCCTGGAGATGGCTTCCCAGTTGGAAGATCCATAAAAGTGACCCCTGTGCCTGGGGTCCCAGCTGCCAGTTTAATTTTAGTTAGGGTCTCATTGCTGGAGGCATCCGGAAGAAGGTCAGTCAACATCTGGGGAGGAGGCGCCAGCCTGAACTAATGCACCTTATGTTGGAGTGTCTGGCACTCAAAATTAGGTTCTGAAGTTGGTAAATGGGTCGGTCTTACTTCACAACAGTCAGACAATTCACCATTGAGACCTTGGCCTGCCTCATGCATATGGACCTCAGCCACTACAAGAGAACTGTGAGGATTGATGGCATAGAGTAGGGGGTGGGAGCTGAATTCAATACAAGTACGGATGATTCTCGCGACGATGTCACAGTAACAGTTTGCCGAGCCTTGTGTCGGGACAGAACCTGTACATAAGAATCCCCGTGACTTGAGACTGTTTCTGCGCTTCTGGCTTCAGCAAAGCTCTCTTTGTCTCTCGTGTGGATATAGAGTATCTCTCTCTTGAGTCGGAACCGTTCACATTCAGTAGAAGAGATTGGGTGCGCCTCACTATAGTGAAAAAAGCAGATCGGACCTGAACATTTCTGACCCTCATAGGCCTTACCACGCTTAACACTTACTGCAGGAACACCCAGCTGTAGCTTATGACAAGTGCGGCTAACATGGCCATACATCTGACAATGGAAGCATCCTCTAGGGCAGTGGTTCTTAACCTTTTAGGGTCGCGCCCCCTATAGCAGTTGGTCCTCATCTCCACGCCCCCCTTCCTTCCTTCATATAAAATTATAAATCTAAAAATTCTAAAACAATTTCCTCTTGAATTAAATAGGAAAATTGAGAAACTAGTTTCTCATTTGTTACTTTAATAACTTTAATTACACTATTCCAAAGAGTCTGTATAAGCTACCGTCACAGTCAGTGTTGACAAATTTTCAAATGTGAATTATCGTACTTATGCCTCAAAATTATCGTTTCTTTACTAAATTATCATACACTTCCCGACATTATTACTACCTTAATTCAGTCACTTTTAATGGAATTTTACATTTTGATTGACGTAGTTACCATTTACGACACTTTGAAGTATTTGTGGGGAGCAAGACCCCCCCTCCCCACGATAATCCAAATAAGGGGACACACACACACACACCTGTTAAAGCCATTCCTTATTTTTACTCTTGGTTTGCGCCGCCCCCCCCCCCCTGAAAATTACTCACACCTCCCTAGGGGGGCATGCCCCCCCTGTTAAGAACCACTGGTCTAGGGTTTGGGACATATAGTTTCACCTTAATCCTTAAGCCCTGGGTTAGGGTGCTGCTGACATTCCCTTCCCCCCGCAGGGATAAATCGAGAAGAAAAATCAACTTTTCCAAAAATAATAATAAAAAAAACATGGCAGGAAAATTGGCGGATGTTCTGGAACGTCACCCGGGGCCTAAGGGTTAAGGGAGATCCAGACAACCATGGTAGAGGGTGGAAGATCAAAGGAGAGATCCAGACAACCATGGTAGAGGGTGGAAGATCAAAGGAGAGATCCAGACAACCATGGTAGAGGGTGGAAGATCAAAGGAGAGATCCAGACAACCATGGTAGAGGGTGGAAGATCAAAGGAGAGATCCAGGCAACCATGGTAGAGGGTGGAAGATCAAAGGAGAGATCCAGACAACCATGGTAGAGGGTGGAAGATCAAAGGAGAGATCCAGACAACCATGGTAGAGGGTGGAAGATCAAAGGAGAGATCCAGACAACCATGGTAGAGGGTGGAAGATCAAAGGAGAGATCCAGACAACCATGGTAGAGGGTGGAAGATCAAAGGAGAGATCCAGACAACCATGGTAGAGGGTGGAAGATCAAAGGTGGGTAGAGATCAAAGGAGAGATCCAGACAACCATGGTAGAGGGTGGAAGATCAAAGGAGAGATCCAGGCAACCATGGTAGAGGGTGGAAGATCAAAGGAGAGATCCAGACAACCATGGTAGAGGGTGGAAGATCAAAGGAGAGATCCAGACAACCATGGTAGAGGGTGGAAGATCAAAGGAGAGATCCAGGCAACCATGGTAGAGGGTGGAAGATCAAAGGAGAGATCCAGACAACCATGGTAGAGGGTGGAAGATCAAAGGAGAGATCCAGGCAACCATGGTAGAGGGTGGAAGATCAAAGGAGAGATCCAGACAACCATGGTAGAGGGTGGAAGATCAAAGGAGAGATCCAGGCAACCATGGTAGAGGGTGGAAGATCAAAGGAGAGATCCAGACAACCATGGTAGAGGGTGGAAGATCAAAGGAGAGATCCAGACAACCATGGTAGAGGGTGGAAGATCAAAGGAGAGATCCAGGCAACCATGGTAGAGGGTGGAAGATCAAAGGAGAGATCCAGACAACCATGGTAGAGGGTGGAAGATCAAAGGAGAGATCCAGGCAACCATGGTAGAGGGTGGAAGATCAAAGGAGAGATCCAGGCAACCATGGTAGAGGGTGGAAGATCAAAGGAGAGATCCAGACAACCATGGTAGAGGGTGGAAGATCAAAGGAGAGATCCAGACAACCATGGTAGAGGGTGGAAGATCAAAGGAGAGATCCAGACAACCATGGTAGAGGGTGGAAGATCAAAGGAGAGATCCAGGCAACCATGGTAGAGGGTGGAAGATCAAAGGAGAGATCCAGACAACCATGGTAGAGGGTGGAAGATCAAAGGAGAGATCCAGACAACCATGGTAGAGGGTGGAAGATCAAAGGAGAGATCCAGACAACCATGGTAGAGGGTGGAAGATCAAAGGAGAGATCCAGACAACCATGGTAGAGGGTGGAAGATCAAAGGAGAGATCCAGACAACCATGGTAGAGGGTGGAAGATCAAAGGAGAGATCCAGGCAACCATGGTAGAGGGTGGAAGATCAAAGGAGAGATCCAGGCAACCATGTCAAAGGAGAGATCCAGACAACCATGGTAGAGGGTGGAAGATCAAAGGAGAGATCCAGACAACCATGGTAGAGGGTGGAAGATCAAAGGAGAGATCCAGGCAACCATGGTAGAGGGTGGAAGATCAAAGGAGAGATCCAGACAACCATGGTAGAGGGTGGAAGATCAAAGGAGAGATCCAGGCAACCATGGTAGAGGGTGGAAGATCAAAGGAGAGATCCAGACAACCATGGTAGAGGGTGGAAGATCAAAGGAGAGATCCAGACAACCATGGTAGAGGGTGGAAGATCAAAGGAGAGATCCAGACAACCATGGTAGAGGGTGGAAGATCAAAGGAGAGATCCAGGCAACCATGGTAGAGGGTGGAAGATCAAAGGAGAGATCCAGACAACCATGGTAGAGGGTGGAAGATCAAAGGAGTCAAATGTCAATCTCAGAGTTGGTGTAGGGTTAAGAATGCCATTTTCTTTCTTGCAGAACCTGTCCACTTTGACCACCTTTTGGACTAGGAGCTTCTCCACAAGTTTCTCCTCTGAGTATTGGAGTAGCTCTTTAGAAAATAGTACCACCGCTCTACACTGGTTAAAAAATGGCATGTGGAGTACAGGAGACTGGGGCACCAGATACTTCAGACCGGGTACAAAGTCGAGCATTCTCCTCGGGGGAGGAAACCTCCACTAGGAGGCTACCTTCTTGCCGAGTGGATATTTTAGGTTCTCTCCCATAAACTGATACAATTGACCTGTGAACATCAAAAATGTCCAGGTCCATTACAGGCTGGCCTTCCACAGTATGGAACACTAGGTATTTTACAAATCACCTGTTAAACACACCTGGTAAGATCTCGCAAGCAGAAGTGTGATGGAGTGTCGGGGCCAGTGGGCCTCCTGCAGCTCTTATCCTTGGGTATTTGTCAGGACCCAGAGCCATTTTTTTAACCTGATATGGCTGTAATGTTGCAGTTGATCCATAGGAGGGTCCAGGGACTGGTGCAGGGTCATCAGGGGTTAATCTGGCCAGCTAAAGGAGTTTGTTTCTTCCATAAAAAACAAAGTAACTTCACCCCTCCCCCACCCACCACAAAGCCCAACAAGGGGAGATCAATGCCTGAGATAAGAAACTGGTGGCCCCAGGGGTAGTAGGGGAGTATAAGCGGGTAACCACCAAGTGGCCAAGACAGCATCTCCTTGGCCGTAGGAGTGTCTGGCTCCCTGATGCCCGCTTGACCCTAGCAACACTGTGACCAGTTGATTGACTTGATTGGGCCTAACCAAGCCGCCTGTCTAGCCGGAATAGGAGATCAAAGAGATGTGTTGCTAGTCGCAGGGTGCAGCGTTGCTCAACCTCCAGGACTCCCGTCTCACAGCATTATGGGTCACCACACATGGTAAACACACATGTAGGAGAGTATCCCAACCCAGTGTTCTAGGTTGGGGACGATGCTGCTTGTCTGCTCTCAAAACCAACAGCATGATAGGAGCCATTTTGTCTGGACCCTCCCTGGTGACCCACCCAGTTTGGAGAACCCTTCCCCACCCTCTGAGGAGGGAATGAAGGCAGGCCAAGCCCCCCTCTGTATCATTGGGACTCACAATCCCCCCCACTGCAGCAAGGTGGCTCCCACTGGGGGGATGATTTTGTGAAATTTGCTGTAAGATATGGTTATGGAGAAAGATTAGTGGGATTTGATAATACAGTAGCAGGAAATTTAAGACATTTAAGAAAAGTGGATAGGATTTTTTTTTATACTATATTGGGTTCCTTTTTTCACAGGACAAAGTTTCATGATGCACCAAATTCGCAAAATGATTGGTTTGACAATGGCCGTCACTCAGGGACTGGCCAACGCCGACATCATCACCAGAGCGTGGGGGAAGGACCGCGTGGATGTGCCCATTGCACCGGGAATTGGCTTAGTCCTGGAGGAGCCACATTATGACAAGTATAATAAGAGATATGGATCCGACGGCATCCATGAGGTATATGTTGCTTGCATCAGTACTATTGAACTGTTATCATTATTCTTTTACAAAAGAGTGTAAAAGGCTTTTTCTGTTGGTTAAGCAATAGATGGGTCATATCGGCCTAATTTAGAGATATTGTGGCTGTTTATTGGGAACCTGGACAGTTCACTAATTTATAAATACTGTACAGTACGGTATATGATACTGTACATGAGTTCACATGACGTTTCTGACATCTAGAATACCTGTCAATATTTTGAAGGCCAGGTTTCATCTTTTATAAATTTGTAAATACTGTAAAATATAAACATAGTAATGTAAGAAAGAACAGTTCGCCTTGGAAACATTTTTCTTGAATTTTGTCATTAAGTTTTATTTATGTAATATTTTTTTTTAATTTAGAAGAGTAAATTGAAAAAATTATTTACATGAAACAGATAACAAGACAAGACTGCCTTCATGATTAACTAATTGATGTCTTTCAGCTTCATTCCATTCACAGTTAAGTGAGGTGGAACTGATGCACTAAGACTCACAAGAAGTGTATTTGGTTTTTCCTGAATTATTTTTAAACGAGACAGTGAATTAAGATTTCTGTGTTACTGTACATGAATGCTTCTTTCATACTTTCAGTCGTCCTCACTCAGCTGATCATCAGTAAGTGTCTGATCACCATTCGCCTTATCACGGTTAAAGCGACACCATATGAGGTCCTCTGGACCATAATGTACTAAGGCCCAAAACAGAAAATGGAGGAAAATGCAGTTGAAATTTTTCACATTTTCATATTGCAATAATCTTTTAACCTATAACAATATCTGACTGATTATTCTTATAAAATGTAGCTAAGGACGTGTAATTTTATGCAATATAAAAGAAATAGAAAAAATATATTTATTATTTCTAACAAGTGCAGTCTCTCCTCGACTTACGACTGGGTTCCGGACTGACGACCAGGTCGTAACTCGAATTGGGCGTAAGTCGAAAAGGCGAAAATAATACATAGAAAATCTCAAATGAAATACGGTACAGTAAAAGTAATCAATAATGAAAAATTAATAAAGTGTTACTGTGCACTTACCTTTAATGTAGTCAGCTGAATGCACACAGGGTCTCAATAATTTTTTAATTAAACATGGAGACTACATTAATTGGATGAAGCAGAGGAGGAGACAAGGCTGGGTAGGTCATTAATTTCGCTTTCTTCAGACAGGCTAACATTCTTGCTTGTTGAAGGTATTGGATCATCTTTAGGAAGTGAAGAGGCAGCAGTGGTGGGGCGTGAGGAGACCAGTGGGGGACTTCTTAAAATATATGTCCAATTTAGGCTGCACAGTTTGCCTTTTCTTTTCATTGTAAATATCCTTGTAGCAAGCAAGTGAATCTTGGATCAGTCTGTCAACTTTTGCAAAACGCTCAACATTTTGATCCATTTCTTCAAACATTTGCATCCCTTTATTAATACGAGTGAGAGAAGCCAAGGTCGCGTGAAATGGTTGCTACCGTTTTTCCATTTTCATATTGCATTATTATTTTAATTTTCAGCTCAAAAGTAATTGACTGTCTCCTTTTCTTATCAGCACCACGAGAACTCTCACTTTTACGCTTGGCAGTCATTTTAAAGGGAATTAGAAATTTTTTTTTGTCAGTACACAGCGCGATCACTAACAACAACGACGGCCAAACACCAACGGAGCGGGCTACGGCGTGGATGCTGTACACCACGAGGTGGCCCAGCCCACGCTGTTGTATGGGACGGAAACGTTTCGGTTCTAGAAAATATGTACAGTAATATAAGACGTACTTTTGTTCTGAAAAATGGCAAGAAAAACAAACATTTATCTGTGTCCTATATGTAAAGTTATGGTCTCTTGCAGGCTAGTGAATGCAGTTGCTGTCTCCAGTAGGCTAAATTCTACCTAGTCCAACTCCTGAATTAAAAATATGTTACTGCTTACTTAAATACATTATTAATTATGATTAATTAAAAATAAGAATTATTGTAAATATTAAAACTAGATTTATAAATACTGTACTGATGATGATAACCAGAAGCGATTAGCTTCTAAATGGAAGGCATCCAACTCTTCAGAGCTAAGCAGTAACTCTTTCAAGCATTACTATCTATTAATGTCATACCTGCAACATTTATCTTTAAATCTACAAATACCTGATAGAAATGAAGATTTACAGATAATTTTCTTTTCACATTTGTGTCTGTTAACGTTGTGAGCTATGTTGTGATTATTTTTCAACTTTTATTTTCGGGTAGATATGCGTAACTTTATTCATATTTTTATGCTCGGTTTCATACACACACAATTCTACATACAGGGTGTGCAAAAAATAAAAATAGTAATAATAATTATCATAAGGTCAAAAACATAAAGGGTATAAAAAAAAAATTGTGAGCCAGCCAGAGTTAGTATGCTGAGGGGGAAGTTATGTTATGGTTATTTTTCTACTCATAATTTCCCTTCCCCCTAACTTTCAAACTAGATCTGTTTCTTGAGCTGATATCGTTTCATCTATTAATGCTGATCTGTGTAGTATCTCCGAATGGGGAGGTAGAAATTTAGTTAAATTCAATAGTAATAAAACAGTACGGTAGGGTCTGGATATATCACGACTTTTTATAACAATTTTTTATATCGCGACTACCAAAATTATCGACATTTTCCAATATATAGCGATAAATTTATTTACTTCGCGAGGGAAATCGGGCAGGAAATATTTCAAATGTACCAGTGGCTGCTCACTCACGCATTCATGCCCGCCCGCTCAGTCTTTCTGAGTGAGTGACGAGAAAGCAGCCGACTGCTGCAGATTACGACTTCATAAGGTGAGTGTAAATGGGTTGCTAATGATGTGAAAAGTGAAGTGAAAATAATGGAAAGCTTAATGGAAAAGATTTAATACTGTAACTAATATTTTTGGTGTTTGTTTATGTAGGTGTGGGATTGTTAAGTGAGTGTGGCAGTGTGGCCTCTACTTCCGAGTCTGGTGTTCCCAGGATGGTGCGTCAGCTGTCGAGTCTGGTGTTTATTGATAATGATATTGAAAGACCTGGTGTTCCCGAGTCTAGTGTTCATTGGTGGTTTAGTTAGAAAGAAAATGAACTCAAGTCAAGTTTAGTCACTTTTTTTGGCCTACAGAACCTAACCCTGTTTTCCCCCATTGATTACATGTAATTATATCTCGAGATTTAGTATATAGTGAACATCGTTGGACCCTATCTCGCGATATATCCCGACTCTACTGTATTTACCAATTACACTTTCCAAAATAGAAGATATCCCACCAATCACTTTTCAGGATGCAATCATTTTGCACCCACAGCATTGCTAAAGCTTGGGATTGGGATGCTTTACAGATGCTGTAGCTACTTCACTCCTGAGCAGTTGCTTCAAGTTTATTACGGATTCATTCATCCTAACTTGGAGTACTGCTCTCATATCAGGGGTGGTTGTTCCTCTGTCCAACTGTTAGATAGGGTGGAATCAAAGGCATTTCATCTTATTAACTCTCCTCCTTAAGTTGATAATCTTCTTCCCTTTCTCATCGCTGCAATATTGCTTCAATCTCTCTCTTTTACAGGTACTTTAACGGGCAATTTTTGGTGGATTTGGCATCCTGTGTACCGCCTGAAAGGCCGTGGGCTCGTAACACTCGTCTTGGCCGCGGTGCCCACCATTTCTGTGTAGATGTCGATCACACTAGAATAACCTGTTATAGTACATACATTTTTCCTGACAAAGCTAAACTGTGGAATGCTGTGCCTTCTGTGTTTCCATACTCTTACAATCTGTCTCACTTCAAAAACCCGGTTTTCCGGCATTTTCGTGGTGTTTATTAATTTGCTAATATCTCCATTAGCCATAATCACTCAAACCCGGAACTCTCCGATAGCCAGAATTGAAATTTTCTCAGAAAATCGTTCCCAAAGCTGGAATTTTCCGAGGGGCACATTTTCCGGAAAACTCTGAGAAAATATTCTTGGTGCAGGAAAATTCCGGGGATGGAGTAGATTTTTTCCGGGTTTGAGAAATGAAAATCGCATTTTCTGGAAATTCCAAGGACAAATTTTCGTCACTCGGAAAATTCCGGGGATGAGGGATTTTTTTTTCTGGGTTCGAGGGATGATGTAATGGGCAATTTCTGGAATTTCTGAGAACATTTTTCCGTTACCCGGAAAATTCTGGGGATGTGGGAGGTTTTTTTTCCTGTCTTTAAGAGAGTTGTTTTGTTACCCAGAAATCTTTCATTCCCGAAAGTGCTCTGCACCAAATGTTCCGGCTAACGGTATAGCCTTTTTCTCTTCAATTTATATATTTTTTTTTACTTTCATTTTTTGTGTCCTAGGCCCCTGTGTGCGTCGATGACCTGTGCCCGGGTGGGCTATTCCCCATAAAAAAGAAAAAGAAAAAAAGAAGATATACAGGTATCCCTCCTTTTTACAATGGGGTTAGGTTTCAGAAAAAACCCATCGCTAGGTGAAATATCGTAGATTGGAATCATTATAACTTGGGGTTCAATGGGATACTTTCCCAGCAAGTCCAACACCCACATGTGTCACCGAAAGAAAAGGTTCTTATATTAATAATACAGTATACATAAAACAAACAACACTTTCCACATCATTAAAAACAAGCTTAGTTGTCATTATATGTCCCCATTGAGGCTAAGGTGGAGTGGAGACGTCACTCTGACTCCCACACAGCTTCTGGGGCAGAGTACAATGTGAACATTAGTGATGACCTCTCACTGTAAGGTAAAAAAAAAATACCACATGATAAGTAACAACACCGATACTAACTGATAATCGTTGAGATACACAATCACAGCCTTATGCGATCACCAGGGAACAAAACTTGGTACTGTAGTGCACCAGGTGGCTGTTTGGCGGCATGCATGTTGACAACAACCAACATGCGTTCAATCATGTAACTCAACGATTATCGTTCAGTATCAATGTGTGTGTTTTTTTTTTACAGTGAGAGGACATCACTAACACT